CGTTCGTATCAAGCACATTTAGGACATTTATTTCATTATTGTTAGTTACATTACATTCGCAGCGATGGAATCAGTTGAACTTGAATTAAAAGCGTTAGTTCAAAAACGCGGACAATTAAAGGCATCATTAACTAGGTTGGATTCATTCCTGAAAAAACCAGATACACAAAAAAGAATCGTTAACTGAAAACTAGGTTGAACACGATTGAAACCATTTTCAGTAACTATGACGATGTACTGTCACGAATAGAAGCATTATCAGAGTCTGAATCTTTGTCAGACGAACGTGAAAACTTCGAATGTCAGTATTTTGAAACCATTTCATTAGCAAAAGAAATCTTATTGGACAATGAAAGTCGTTCAAATCAAGCAGGTAGCAGCGTGACATTTAACGATATTTCTCTAATAATTTACAAATCAAAAACATCAAATTACCAACATTAGAATTGCCTAAACTTTACGGAGAATATGATAAATGGCTTAATTTTCAAGATACCTTTACATCACTTGTACACAATGATAAAAATTTAAACGACGTTACAAAATTTCATTATTTAACTTCATGTTTAAAAGGTACAGCAGAGCTAGCTTTAAATTCTCATACTCTCACCGTTCAGTGCACGTCCGCCTTATTTTAGCTGGGTCTAGGAGCCTCGTGACGACACCGCTCAGTGCACGTCGGCCTATTTTGAATTGGGCAACGGCACTTTCTCGGACGACGAAGCGCTTCCCGCCAAATTCAGAAAAACCGTTACGGTTCTGCGCGTATCGATTGGCTCCCGCGCAGAAATGACCGTTACAAACGTCACGAAATCTTATAAAAACGCCATGAAAAAAGGTATACTAAGCTTTTTACATCGAGACTTGACCGCGTGAAGTTCTCGCATGTATTTCGCTGCATGCGCATCCTTTCTTTCATTAGCTTTCTTTTCTAAATTACTCGCACCCAGGTCGCGATAATTTAGCTTTAGATTCAGCCGCTTACCACGTAATATACAAGGTACTCCAAGAGTCAGTTGTCTGAGCACCGGCCAGCAATTGACTCAATACAGGGATTTGCGAATACAATGTCTATCTACGAGATTCGTAATTTTCATTACGAATCTAACATAAAGAATTCCAGTCTGTAATTTTTATTGCGGACTTAAAACTCAAACCGCCGTGGCAATCGCGTGCCTCAACGAGGGAAAAATCACCAGTGGAGTTATTCGATCGTTGCCGAGCGCCTGCAAGAATTTATGGTCGTTTGACACCACAGAAGCAAAAACAGGAGCAACACACCGTGAGGCTTTGCACTGGGTCTGACGCCGGCGTCAACCCTAAGTCAGCGTTCTAACGACGGGGTGTGACAGTAAGACGCCCTCGAAGAAGCGACTAGGCCCAAGCAAGAAAAAGGACGACCATCGGTCACCCGTGAATATCGCTTTGTGCTCCGCTGGCACGCCGTAAAACGGGCTTACGTGCGGCCAGTTCCCGGGAACTGATGGGGTGGTGAAGATTCGCGCTCGCGTTTCGCGTTAGGGACTTTGCTGTGCGTACCACCGGCACAGGGAGGTCCTTAAGAGAAGCAAGATAGAGTCAGCGAGAAGATCCTCCCATCATTATCCAAGATGAATAGCGAGCATCGAAGAAAGCCTTGTCATATTCCACCCTTCGAGTGAGTTTCAGGATTTCAGAACACGCAGTATATTCCTAGACGTCTTGTACCTACGAATATGCCTGAGGCCATCAGATTGGGAAGGAGGAGGAACAGTCAAATTCGCTTTCCAATCCAAACAGAAAACTCGCCACGGTTTCAAAATTAATCGCCGTCGGTCGGGCAAATCAAAAAAGCCTCCATGGTATCGTTTCAAACATCGAACTCGATACCGTCCAAGAGCGATTTCCGCGACTTCGCATCCCATTGCGGACGTCGCCCAATAGCATAACATCGATCCCTCCGGCGATAGCGCGTCCAAAGTATAAAGACCAATTTCACCGATGTTTCCAATGTCACCCACATCGCGGCCGATCTCGCCTGGGTCTGCCTTCTCGGCACTCAGTATCTACTGCAGCGACTCTCGCAACCTGCAGACGAACCTCGGCGCACTTCAGAGCGATATTTGAAAACAACCATAATTATTTTTACTCATCTTTCGAATTGGTCCAAGGACGCTATTGTCAATAACTCAAAAACTTATTGAGCGATCGGTGTCAAAATTTAATGCAGCACTCCTCAAGTCGCTGGCATTATCCCCCTCAATCGGATGAGCCAAAACGCCGTTATACGTTGAATCCATAATAGGATTCCACGATTTCCTAGCTGCCGCCGGAAGTGTCCGCGCGATCTCGGCCGAACCCTCCAACCACGGTACTACTTCGTGCGATGATCGGTAGCCTAAGCCGAGACCGTAGAGTTTTTTCAAAATGGGAAAAAACTCCAAAATCCCCGATGCAGACATCAACTATCCGGAGAGGCCAGAGGGGAACGAGATCCGATGTGTGCCTTTTTGATAGAGATTTTGGCGGACGATTCACGAGCGTTCCGCCAAAAGTATAGAGATTTGAGGAAAGCGATCGAACGTCGACTTCCGACATCTGCAGTTCATTAGTGGGAATGCATAGCGCGACCTGGCGTCCAAAGTGGAGCTTAATTTGAACTTCTTTTGTCTCCACCGCGGACCCAAGTCGAGGAAACCCATCCAAATGACCATAGTTCACGACATGGCGCTCGACGTGGGGCTCGAAGCTCTGCTTCGATGTCTCCGCGGCGAGCCTAGGTTACCGAATCACCCCAAAATTCTCAATTATTTGGCACTTCAGATCATAGTACACGACAGCCGGCAGGATATATTGATTTAGGGCGGACGGGTGACTGAACGTCTCCGCCGGGCCCCTCGGCTCGCGCTGAATGTGTTTCTTCTGTGCCATAATTTTCGCGATTTTCGCGTCTTCCGTGGCCTTCACGGTCACGACACCCCCGTTTTTATGCTCGGCCGAGGTAGAGCGACGCGTCACCACGACAGTGTACAGAACTCTACCTGCTGATCTACAAGCTCTCCGCGATCGGATTACAAGAGTGGTGAATATAACTCCGGCTCAAATGAAAAATGCGTTAAGAAAATTTGAAAACAGGATTCATTTATGTCATCAAATAAATGGTGAACAATTTGAACACTTAATTTATGGATGATCTATTGCACTTTTCTTTCTTATCTTTACTGTTACCATGTTTTTTAAAATAAATATTATTGTTAATGACTTTGACCTTAATACTAATATTTAAATAGATGCAAATATGGCGTCTAAAAACAAAAGCCTGTCATAGCAACCATATTAAAATAAAGATTTCTAGGCACCTCTGATCTATGCATTGATTAATTATATCGTTTTCCGTTTATCCATCGTTCAGATGACATTTTTACATTAAACATTTAATATCTTAAAACTCCGACCTTTGAGTATAGGGAAGTGTACATAAAAATGATTCGAAATTGTAGAATACGAATTCTCAATTAGTTGTAGGCCATTGCATTAAAATTATTGCAGTTACTTGCTATTTAAGATGACTTCCGGTATTTTCCGGATGTGCCGGAAGTGCGACATTTTTATGATATCAGACTAGTACTTCTAAAATAAGTTAAAGATATCATATGACTTTGTCCCTTTCTTCGTTTGTTTTCTTTCAAAAGGATTTTATAAATGACACATTTGACATTTTAAAGCGTGATTTTCTCGGAAACGTCAAAGATAGGTATAGGACATAATACATATTTTAGTGTTAGTTTCTTTAGCAGAATTGAAAACAAAAATAATATACATGGTGTTCCATATGAAATAACAAAGTTTAGGGCATTTCCGGTCAAACAGAAAGTGACGGTCAGTTGTTTTTATGATTCAATTTTGCATCGAATTCATTGATACGCATGGCTAAAATTTGAAATCGATATCTTTTTTGTGTCTAAGCTAGAGCCTGGGTAGTAATCTCGTGGTCACCCGGTATAGGTAAGTTAGGTTAAATAGTTTTATTTTCACCCAAGGAAGCTGTGGTCAAGCGTTGTCCATCCTTTTCATGGACACCCTGTATACAGGGTGATTCACAACTTATCCAAAAAAATTTGGGAATAGATGCGGCATGAGAAATGGAGTCAATATCGTAAAAAAAAATTGTAAAATCCTTAATAGTTTCCGAGAAAAAAATTGTTGAAGTTGGACTACTTTCAAACACTACATCGCTGGACAACTGTAGTCTCTAGCGTCATTCGCAATACGCGTGAGAGCCACGTGGCGTCTGCGACTCTCAATACAGTCGTCGTTGCGGTAGTGTTTATAATAGCTTTTTAGTACCCAGTTAGTGTCAAAAATGGCTTGTGTATAGCAACTCGGAGTTGATGGATATCGTTTTAATTCATGGTGAAGTAAGACAACATTTGTATTATGGTGAAACATTTGTGTTATGGTGAAGCAGGACAACATTTGTTTTAGTTTATAGAAACTTAGTAAGACAGGATCAAATATGTTTACACGTCGGCGGACAAAATTTTGAACAGTTATTGTAACATCAGGTATGTCAAATTATTTTATTAATTAAAACCACAAATTAATTTCATTAATTTATAATAACAATAGCGGCAAAATCAGTTGAATTTGCTGATATAAAATAGATGCTATAAAATTCTATTTATTTCTTTCCTTGCGAAATTCTTTCAAGTTTTTGTCCGTTTTTATCACTATCGCCGTAACGGTCGCATTGTGCGAGGTCAGGTTTTACAGTGGACCAGTTTCCAGAGGCGTGCAGAAGTGTATTTTTAAATTATTTTTGAACTGCCCTTTTTGATTTTTTCTTTACGAAATCGTATTTGTAAGAGTCCCCTGAACATCCAGATTTTTTTTGGATAAGTTCTGAATCACCCTGTATTGCTCCAGAATTATTTTTTCTCATATTTGGTCCAACTATTCTGTACAAAAAAACTTTCCATCTATAAAAAAATAACATAAATAATATTGTTCAGAGAACTTACCGGGGGATAGGACACAATTATTGGAAAACTATCATAGCCTGTTATATCACAATTGACTTGATTATCGGACAGTAAAATGACACAAGCAGCATCATTTCTTCTTTGAAATGTGACCATTCTGAAACAGACCTGTGTTAAATAGACCTCTGATTACCTGCCACAGAAATTTAGAACTACTGTGTACAAAGATAAATATCCTAATCATGGAGACTACACAGGGCGCACAAACTCTATGTAAACAAATATCTTACCAAATTAAAGGAACTAGTGTCCCATATGCACGAAAATAGTGGAGCGAGATAAAGAAAGCAGCAGTTTGAATAATAAATCAATCATGTTTGTGATGTGTTAAAAATTTTAAAATAAATAATGCAGGCTACTTTCAATTAGAAAAATAAATCAATAAATAATGAAAATATGTCTGTATACAAAGAACAATAGCGACTCTAGAGGTAAAAACTATCTATAAGTAATTTCTACTATTACATTGACAAATTTTGTCAATTTTCCCCTATGAGTTCGTGCTCCTTGTCTAGTCTCCCTGATCCTAATGCTGGCTTTTATGTCTATTCTTAGTAATACGAGTGAGTGGGGAGGGGAACGAGAGGGGAGGGGATGCGTTCCAGTAGTTTCATAATTCTATGATGTTAAAAAAAACACTATGTTGTCATTGCCGATCGGTGACTTCACTGCAATTCAGAATATCAATAAAGTATTTTTTGAAATTTATATTAAATATTTTATTTTTATACATCTAGGAGGTGCCTAACAGATTGTTTCTTGTCTACAGATCATAAAAGTCATTTACATACAGGGCGTAAAAGATTCTTTTGCATTTCACAGATAAAAAGTACCATTACGGTCCCCAATTTCAAGGAGTAAGATGTTACGAGGTCTGTTCATTGATGCTGCTAAACAGATGCTGTATATCACAAAAAGCATTGATTCTTGAGCAAGATTCAAAGGCAAGCATTAATAATAACCTCAGGTAACTTAGAACTTAGTAGCTGTTCATTTCTATTTTAATACTCATTTTGCTTTTGATGCTTCTAAATTATGTCAACTGTCAAAAAAACCTCATTCATAAAATCAGTAGGTACAGTTGTAAAGAAAAGTTATGCTCAAGTACATCTTGGGCAACAAACTTCATCTTTGGAATTAGAAGTCCCCTAGAATATAATAATTTTTCATTAACTTTAAAAAGAAATTATTGCTTGATGAACGTTAATCTTGACGATATTTGGCTAATTTCTCTAATATTATTTTTGTAATTATCGTCTACTGTTTATTATTTTTGTATTTATTGTCCACTGTTTCGACATAGTTGATATACTTAGTTTTAGTTTGGTTTTGCGTAAAAATGTTCAGTCATTAATTTCAGAACGTATTATGCACGCTCTTCAATTCACATTTCAATTTACTTTCTTTTTTTTTATTAGGGTTAAGATGGCCACTTCTGACAGAGGAAAACTAGATGGCTACACCTACACCAACAAATTATTTCAAAGATGATAATAAATTTAAAGGAACTAAAATTGCAAATGAAAAGTTGTAAGGGTTTAGCATTTGTTGGAGCTCCTAATGACATAATTTGGTTAGAAAATATTCGCTAGTTTACGAGAAATAAAATTATCTTTGAGAATCTGTTTATGGCTAAAAACTTTTTTTTAGATCAAAACGTTATTTAAAATATGTCATTAGGAAATTTGAGGTTTTCTGAAGGTACTTACCTTAACAAAATTCAAGTCTAGAAATGGTTTAATATTTAAATGCATCATATTTGAAAATCGTAAGAATTCACCGACATGGAAAACTGAAAATTATTTACACACCCGATGACAGTTAGAAACTAAAATACGTATTACAACTTTGGACACTGTAACAGATGGCGCTCGTCTCACTTCATGCTGATATCATGTAATTGTTTTGTTATTCAATTCACGGTCCGTAAAAAAGACGGTCGAGTATAGACAGAAATTATGGGCGTGGCTTATCTCATACTACGTCACAAGATTTCTAATCTCTAGGATTTATGTTTGTTTACATTCAACTTAACTAGTAATTTTACATTTTTCCAAGTAGTAAATCTTTCATAGTTGTTTGGGTATTTTGCAGTAAGTAATTAGTTAGTTATTGATAATAGTTTTTAATAAGTCGATGGTGTAGTGTTTAATATAAACTATTAATTTACCACGTAAATATGCCAGGAGTGAGGTGTAGTGTTGCAATTTGCAATAATAATTTTTATAGTGCTAACCAAGACAATTTAAAAATTTTATTTTGAAGACTCAAATTTTGACCGCGATCTTCAAGCAGAGCTATTAAGTTTATCATCAAGAAAAAGACTTAAAGATATGTTAAATTTCTAGTTTAACTGATTGTATTCACTTCAAAAAGGACTAAATTTATTGTTATTGTTGTATAACAAATTGATGTGATTGTTAGAAAAGCGACTGGAAATTTTAAGTATCTATCGAAATGTGATTTTAATATTTTTGTAAACTTGACAATTTTTCTTAAAATTAAATATTATGTCAAAAGTTCTGCGAGAATAAGTTTTCCTCCTCTTCCTTTCATTTTATTCCTCCATTTAACTCCGAACACCGAAAAAAACTCTTTCTAGGCAAAAAACTACTGTATAGTTTACTTGTAAATACTTAAGGGCCCCATATTCTTTAAACAATGTTTTCCGCAAAGACAAATAATTTAAAACATTTAATAACTGAATAATCTAAAGCTTATCAAATAATAGGAATGTTATGTCATGCCACCTGAGTATTTTCAAAGACGCCGCAATAAAACGAATAAACAGGTGCAAAAAACGATCAAACCATCAAGGTTTTAGGTACTGAAATCTACGAAAATACTAACTTTTTTTATATATAACTCCACATGTAAATATTCTTATAACATTTACTTGCTTAGTCCTACATATAAAATTGTTTACTTTTGTTTATAAGTACGTGAAAATAATTCTTAAAATGTGGGGTTAGGATAACAGCAAACGCATGTTTTACAAACGCTTTTTTTAGTTATTTTTATTTGGGTAAATTTAAATGGTAACAATGAATAAACAAAACATCAATTATTTTTGTGATTACTTTTGTTCTACACGTTTTACTTTTCAAGATTTCAGTACCTAAAAATGCCAGAAATTTCACCATTTCTCGGCCAGGGATATGGCCACCTTAAATTCGGAACATCAACTGTAAAAAGATAAATATGATAACTATAGCTGGTACGTACAAAAATAAATTATGTTACAGCCTATTATAATAAAGAATTAAAGTACTCAAATTACCTGTTAATTAATCATAATCATAACTGATTAAATTTATTATTTTATGCTAAAAGCAGCGTGGTACAAGAAAAGTGACAATTTTAAATTTGCCTCTTATTTTCTTATGCAATGAGTCAGAAAGAGATGACGGTTGAACGAAGATAAACTGAGGAATTTGGTGACGTATTTGTTTTTTATTGGCTGATTGACTTATGCGGCGACCGTCTCTTTACGGACCATGATTGTTATTTACCTGCCCCATAGGCAGAGTTGCCAAATGTAGCGATTTATCGCCATTGTGGGGACATGACACATTACTCTAATGGCTGCCAAAATTTCACATAGCAACTAACGATTTTTATACTTTTATCGATAGTAGTAATTATTTGTATAAAGTGTCACTTGTTTAAAGATAAAATATAAAATTTCTGATTCGAATCTGCGTTGAAATATTTTCTTTGCGGTCTGATTTGTATTTTGTTACTCTTTTATGTCTGATTTTTAAATATTCTTTCAGAATGTTTAGTCCTATAAAAATAACTTAATTTTTTTACAACTTTTATTTCAGACAGACTTTTTGCCCCTCCTACCCACCCCAAACACAACCTCGGGACGCACATACGCTGACATGACCAAAAAAATACAAAACACGCAAAAACAAAAACACAACACCTCACCACACGCACACACAGACACGACACCCTCCCAACCGGGCGCGGCGGCCCTGATTGACGCAACAAAGCGTCTTCAGGACTTCTGCGTCCAGCTGACGACCATGGTGTCGAATATGCAAAAATTATTCGACTTCTAATGGCTCGTCGGCCCTCCCAACCCTCCTCGCTGAGAATTTCGTCCTGGAACCTTGACGGGTTCCGGGCCAAAAAAACGGAACTCGTGGACATCTTGAACCGTCTAAACATAGACGTTATGGCTGTCCAGGAGACCTACCTCAGCGAGGCATCCCGTACCTCCATCCCTGACTATGACATATACAGACATGACAGAAACCGTAACGGGGGTGGTGTTGCACTCATAGTAAAGAAGTGCATCGACCACTATCCGCTGCAGCGGCTCCAAACTCAAAACACAGAGGCCGTGGCGATAGCGGTGAGATCGCTACGGCATGGAGACGTTGCGGTGGTGTCCTGTTACCACCCACCCAGACTACCACTACTTGACAATGACTTAGACAAAATCCTTTCCTGGCCCCAGACAATTGCCATCGGGGACTTCAACGCGAAGTCCCCCATATGGCACAGCGGGACGACGACCACAAGAGGTCGCGTCCTGCTGAATTACCAAGACAGACACGACGACTTGACTATACTCGGACCGACAGAACCGACACATTACGGACCCGTAGGACGCCCCGACGTTATCGACATTGCCCTCTTAAAATCTATACCGTTAAATGCCCAAATATCCACCCAATACGAAGGGTCTTCCGCCCACAANCACATACGCTGACATGACCAGAAAAACACAAAACACACAAAAACAAAAACACAACACCTCACCACACGCACACACAGACACGACACCCTCCCAACCGGGCGCGGCGGCCCTGATTGACGCAATAAAGCGTCTTCAGGACTTCTGCGTCCAGCTGACGACCATGGTGTCCAATATGCAAAAATTATTCGACTTCTAATGGCCCGTCGGCCAACCCTCCACTCTGAGAATTTCGTCCTGGAACCTTGACGGGTTCCGGGCCAAAAAAACGGAACTCGTGGACATCTTGAACCGTCTAGACATAGACGTTATGGCTGTCCAGGAGACCTACCTCAGCGCGGCATCCATCCATCCACCTCCATCCCTGACTATGACATATACAGACATGACAGAAACCGTAACGGGGGTGGTG